TATGAGTTTCATTAAAAGGATTGTGCTCTGGGGGCGCCTGGGTGACTCAGTCATTAAGCGTTTGCCTTTGGCTCAGGTCATCCCAGGGTCCTGGGATCAAGCCCCGCATCGGGCTCCCTGCTCCGCGGGAAGCCTGCTTCTCCCTCTCCCACTCCCCCTGCTGTGTTCCCTCTCTTACTGTCTCTCTCTGTCAAAAAATAAATAAAATCTTTAAAAAAAAAAAAAGGATTGTGTTCTGTGTTAGGATTTTGAAGCTTGATTTTTTTTGGCTTTGTGAAGAAAAGACTATTCCACCCCTGCCCTCTTTTTAACCACAGTTGAGAGCTATTTGGATTTTATTTTTGATGTTTTTATAGGGATTCATCAATCTTAGGAATACTGAATAAAATTATAATTCTTTGGGGCTTTATTGTTTATGGGGAAAATAATCACAGAGTAATTAATGATCTGCATTATTTTCTTTTGATTCTTTAGGGTATAATACATTCCTCAGGATTTAGAGACAGAGAACTCTGCTCTGCCTTCTTACTTCTCTCCACCTACCCCAGCCTACAAAGTGGATTTATAGTAAATCAAAAGGTTGAGTTGTTTTATTTGTTTTCCAAATAAAATTTCAGGTCATAGAGAAGTTTTCAACTGATTGGCCAAGATGATAAAATTGTAGAGGGCATGGTTGATAAAAGATGGAGTGAGGAGCAGGTGGGGTATTTGTTTCATGTTGTATCTGAAATGAGGATAGAATAGATAGAGAGAGGGAGTGACCATTTCATGAGGAGATGACCTTATCTGGATTAATGGGACAGAGACAAGCTTAGATGGATGAATTTCCATTTTAGCCATTGTCTGCTCTTATAAAACACAGGTGAAGAGTTAGTGTAAAATTACCAGTTTCCCTCCATGGTATTTCTGATGAGGTGTGAAGCTGACAAATAATAGCAAGAGAGAGATGTACTTCTCCTTTAGGAACTATTTAACTTACTCTGGAGTAGAACTAGCTTATGGTTGTTCAGTGTTAGAAATGGCTTTCCTTGAGTTTATTGGAAAAAATCACTTTTATGAAATAACCTACTTGATTGAGTGAAGCTTCAGTTTTTTTTAAGGTCATTTTTACTATACCACAGCTCAGGATGTTTTCATTTAAAGGTAAAGCAGAATATGTGTGTGTGTGTGTGTGTGTGTGTATAATGGAATATTACTTAGCCATCAAAAAAATGAAATCTTACCATTTGTGACAACGTAGATGGAACTAGAGGGTATTATGCTTAGCGAAATTAGTCAATCAGAGAAAGACAATTATATGATTTCACTCATATGTGGGATTTAAGAAATAAAACAGAGGAGCATAGGGGAAGGGGGGGAAAATAAAATAAGATGAAATCAGAGAAGGAGACAAACCATAAGAGACTCTTAACCATAGGGAGCAAACTGAGGGTTGCTGGAGGGGGAGGGGTATTGGGGGGTGGGGTAAAGGGGTGGTGGGCATTAAGGAGGGCATGTGATGTAACGAGCATTGGGTGTTAAATACAACTGATGAATCACTGAACTCTACCTCTGAAACTAATAATACACTATATGTTAATTAATTGAATTTGAATTAAATTAAAAAAAATAAAGGTAAAACAGAGTTAACCAGTTTTCACAATAGCCAAGTTATAGTGACTTAACCAAATTTTCAATTAATGAAGTAGAGAAAGAATGTACATTCTAATCTAAATTTAGAGGTTCTAGACTATTGTCCTTGGTATTAATTTCTGGCAGTGTATGACAGTGCTGTGCCATGACCCAAGGTGCTATGGAAGAACTGTAAGAGAATATAAGAGAATAACTTTTGTCTTTTCTGTGTTCCCCGTAACAGCTAGGAGAGTGCTATGCTAATAAGTTGCTTGATAATTATTGAATGAATTCCGAGTTATGATCAAATAATTATTGATGGTGGTTTAACGGAGTTTTCAGATATTTGTGATTGGTTTAAATATGTATAAAATATATATATTCGCATAATATAGGCATTCATCAGTTGGCAGTGGGTAGGGTATGTGGAAGAGAGGGGAACTGCATATTCAGTTTTATTTTATAGGCAGCTGATAAAACCTTGGTGGTTTTATTTTTAAGTGAAACTGAGCCTTTAGCATTTTTGGGCTCACATATCAAATGCCTTGGATACAAGATTAGAAATTTCACATTCCTACTTATATGTTGGTGAGTATGATTATATGCTTTGTTTGCTTAAGGCATGAATTTTGTATTTATATTGCTTTTTGCAGGTTCATTTTTGTTAACAGAGATTAAATAGAAATATAATAAGGTTTTAAAATATCAGTACTTTTTCTTTTTTTTTCTTTTTAAGATTTTATTTATTTATTTGACAGAGAGAGACACAGCAAGAGAGGGAACACAAGCAGGGGTAGTGGGAGAGGGAGAAGCAGGCTTCCGCCGAGCAGGGAGCCCGATGCGGGGCTCGATCCCAGGACCCTGGGATCATGACCTGAGCTGAAGGCAGACGCCTCACGACTGAGCCACCCAGGCGCCCCCGTACTTTTTATTTTTCTACAACCTTCCAAGGCTTCCATCTGGGCCAATTTGTAGCTCTGGATGCCATCCACCAGCAAAAACAGCACTTGGGTTTGGATGAGCAGTGACATTTGGCCTACACTTAGGTCTGTTGACCACCCTAGGTCAGGAAACCTAGAACAATCCTAAAAAACTGTCCTAATCTAAAGCAGATCCTATTATTAACTAACACTGAATTTGTCATGGAGTGTTAGAAAGGAATAGCAGGGGCTGTGGGGTGGAAGAAGCTCTGTGTGTATGGGGAGTAATTTTTCACTTTTTTCCATTTCAGTCCCTGTCATTTTCATTCGAGATCTGATGCATTTTGTTGCTACTATGTTTCTTATCATATTCAGAGTTAATGAAGGTCTATAAATAAATTTTCTTGCCCATATGCTGTATTGACTTTTTTTTTTTTAAAGATTTTATTTATCTTTTTGACAGAGAGAGACACAGCGAGAGAGGGAACACAAGTAGTGGGGGAGTGGGAGAGGGAGAAGCAGGCTCCCTGCTTAGCAGGGAGCCCGATGTGGGGCTCAATCCCAGGACCCTGGGACCGTGACCCGAGCCAAAGGCAGACACCTGATGACTGAGCCACCCAGGCGCCCCTCTATTTATATTTTTTAAAAGAAAAGTATTTTTTAAAAACTCAGTCATATGATTCCTTTGGGTATCTTATGCTTTTTTTTTCCTTCCCTCGAATTATTAAAATATGCTGTATAGGGGGCGCCTCGGTGGCTCAGTCGTTAAGTGTCTGCCTTCAGCTCATATCATGGTCCCAGGGTCCTGGGATTGAGCCCCACATCGGGCTCCCTGCTCGGCGGGAAGCCTGCTTCTCCACCTCCCCTGCTTGTGTTCCCTCTCGCTGTCTCTCTGTCAGATAAATAAATGAAATCTTTAAAAAAAACATGCTGTATAGGACTAACTTGTTTTTCTTTTTCATTTCCATACAGGAAGGAGAAAAATACTGTTAATGTAATTAATGTTACAGTTTTTAACTAGTGTTAACTGAGGGTTATTGTGAAAAATTTTACTGTTTGCTAGATTCCTAATTTTAAAAATGCCTGTAATGTTTTGTAGGAATTTCAACTTCTGCAATTTGATAACAGATCTAGGTAAGTACAAAATGAGCATCTCCTACATGCGGAAAATCTAAATTTGGTTGAGACTGTAATACTTTATAACCAGTAAGCCTTTTGATGTAGTTAAAGCTGAAGATGATAAAGTGACTGCCCATACCTGTTGAGAGCTGAGTGAATCTGTAAATCAACATCTTCGATGTTTCTTTGGTCCTTGCTGCTGGAGTCAAAGGTTAGGAACAAATCTAATGGCCTTTGTAAAATTCTCTTTGTTGTTTCACAGAGGAATGGCTTACATGAGTAAGGACTTTACTGAAGTTTCTCCCTTTAACAAGATGCTTAGCACAGCGTTGCAGTCAATGAGAGATCATGGTATAGAGAAGGAAATTTAACTGAATTTTGTATTATTTTAATCTTGTTTAAGATACTGTGAGCAACTCCTAGACTAAAAATCTGTACATAAGCTATCAGCAACAGCCTTATCACTTCCTTTGACTATTTTGTAGAATTTATAAAATTTATGATTGCCTAGATAATATTTTCAGAATTGGTGGGTAAAAATTCTTTCATGAGCTCTCCTTATCCTCACATATAGTGCTAGGGTATTGTGGACGTTGGGTAATAAAAGGCTTGTAAATTTTTTTGACTCATTAACCGTAAGAAATATGTTTTACATCACATATATTTTATATGACATAGGTGTGTGTGTGTGTGTGTGTGTATGAACTAAACATTTAAAATAAAGTGATGCACAGTGTTTTTTAATCTGTTGTAGTCTATTTTTCTTTTCCTAATAAGATTTATTTATTTATTTTTGAGAGAGAGATCGAGCGCAGCGGGGAGGGACAGAGGGAAAAAGAAACTTAAGCAGACTCCATGCTGACCACGGAGCCTGACACGGGGCTCGATCCCAGGACCCTGAGATCATGACCTGAGCTGAAACCAAGAGTTGGACACTCAGCCGACTGAGCTACCCAGGCACCCCTCATCTGTTCTTTTTCATTAAAAAAATTTAAAAGATCATGACCCAACAAATTGATTCAATACCCACACACACATCTCTAGTTCTTCCCTTTAGAGTAATAGTCCTCACAAAACTTGCCTTGTCTTCTCATGTATTGAACTCTTTAAACATTTTAAGATGTAGGGGCGCCTGGATGGCTCAGTCTGTTTAAGCGTCTGCCTTCGGCTCTGGTCATGATCCCGGGGTCCTGGGTTCGAGCCCTGCTTAGTGCTCCACACTCAGCGGGGAGCCTGCTTCTCCCTCTCCCTCTGCCCCTTCTGCCCCCCACTCGTGCATGCTTTCTCTCTCTCTTTCTGAAATAAATAAGTTTTAAAATAATAAACATTTTAAGATACATATAAAAACATACAAAACTTGAAATCTCTAAACATATTACATGTTTTTATCTTTTGAATAAGATACTCTGTGCCCTGGTATTTGTTAGCTCCCTATATTTTGGGCCTAATAGGCTTGGAAAGTTTTAAGGCATCACGGGAATGGCCATTGAAGAAGGATCAAGATTGAGAAAATGCATCGGCAAGCTATATTTGAGTTCTGTTTTTTCTAGCTCGCTGACCTGGGCACCAACCATAGAGCTGCTCTGCTAAGCACATCTGGTGTTAGTCTCCTGTTACCAGCCCCTACGTCACAGTCCTGGGCCTGACTTTAAAATTCGAGCCTGCTTTCCAGGTGTGAGGTGTAGGCTGACCTAGACCACATGGGCAGAGGTGGGCTCATAAACACAAGTAGGAGTTGGTTGTATATTTGTATAAACTTTTCCTTTAGAAGAGATACACCTAAATTGAACATCAGATAATGGTGTGTTTTTTTCCATTCAGTAATAATTTTTGTGATTAATTTTATACTTTCCCTTTTGCTGTTTGCCTTTTCTAGGTCTTACATTTAGGTGCAAACCTAAATAGCATTTAGTTTTTAAACAAAGATAGTGAGGCAAGATTGTATTTTTTTCTGTTTCACTTCAGGACTGAAGGAAGTAAAAGGAAGTTTTAGGCTGAATACCTTTTTGTGGGTGATTGGAAATGCTGTAGTAATTTAGACATTTAAACATTGAGAACCTGTAGTATGTAAAATACTAAAGTTTAAGTCTGTTCCCTCAAAACATTTCTGTGTGAGTAGTCTTTTGAGAGTCTTGGATTAAATGTTCAGCAAGCACGGAATGTCCATTTAAGTTAAACCTGCATACAAAACAATGCTTTAGTCTTAAAGCTAGCTTAAATATCAGAACTCCCCCAATTTTTCCTGCGCTTGTATTTAATATTCACCAGTGGCGGGCCCCACACATCCTCTCCACAGAGATTCTGGCCTGTAGGCCAAGTATCCTCCCACCCTCGGACCAGATAGAGTATGAAGGGCCTCCATCATCCCTCTTGGAAAATCAGAGATGCTGGAAAGCCCTGGACAAGCTGTGTAGTAGCACATCTGAAGAGCAGAAGGGTCAGGCAGCCTTCAAGCTCTGTAATGACTCCTGCTCAGATAAAAGATGCTAGTGGTTGGTTGGTTTGTTTAAGGCATCATCGATCTTTGAGAATCTTCTAAAACGCTGGATTGTCTCCCTAGGCAAGTAGATATACACATAATCCCTGCTCTGAGACTCCCAAGATACTGTAAGAAGCTGCTTAATTAACCTCTTATTATCTGTTGAGTGAATTCTCAGATTCTCCTGGGTTGGTGGTGGGATGTGAAAGTGAGTGTAGGAACAGCAGAGATCTCATCAGGCTTTTAACCTGATACTGTCATTGCATGTTACCATTCATAATGGATCAGCATTTTCTTTTAGCTATTGAAGTTTGCTCAAAATATGGCTAAGCTGTTACCTGCTATAGGTGGTCCAGAAAGGACAGCCATCCCAGCAAAGAAACCGGCAAGTCCCAAGAACCTGTGTACTCTAGAATTCCCAGACAGATCAACCTGTAGGGATTAGAATCCAGTGTTAGCCATATTGAAGGTGAAACTCTGTAGAGACCTGTGCATGCAAAGAGAGAAATACTATGAACGATTGACTTCTGAGGCGATTTGGTTGGCCTTTTGCCTTGATATTCTACAAGAGCTGAGGCAAACAAGGAAGAGTTATTATGCCAGGCAGGCAGTGTTCTAATTTTATTAGTAAGGAACTATGAGGCTTCTTATTTTAAATCTTTGAGACAACTCAGGGGTACCTTTCTTCCCTGATCCTCACGGCTCTTCTCTATTAGGAAATGGTATTTACATTCTGAGCTGACAGTGGTATTCTCAAATCCACCTATGGCTAAATACCAGCTATTGGTTGTAAGAAGTCAGTTTTTCCAGGTTGATTTCAGCTTTAGAAAGTTTGGTTTTTACATAAGCTTCATATAATATCCTACAGCCCTTACACGAATATTGATATCAGGCCAGAAGAATCCATGAAATATTTGTGGAAGTATTTCCATTCCTTTGGGCCCAGGACTTTAAGTCAATTTGGGGTAAAAGTAGAGAGGAAATGAACAATGTCCCTATTAAAGTACATAGAACTACTCTCAACAAGAGAGAAGCCACACTGGTCAGGAAGTCACTTTTTCTCTCAAGGAACTCCTCAAGATGGTGTCTTAGAAGGAGCCAAAGAAATTTCTGGAGCTGAAGGAAACAAGTAAACACAAACCTAACCTTTTGGGGGACTGAGAAAGTGAAATCCTGCTGATCCCCTTTTTGCTTTCATTTCTTTTTTGTCTCATATATGTTCTCTCACCATTCCTCCCCCAAGGGTAAGATGAAAACTGGACAGGATACAGCTACAGGGTTTCGGAGGCCTTGCATATGATTTTTTTTTAATTATAAAATTAACACAAAATATGTAGTCTCTTTGGGGGGGTTATTATTAATACGTGCTTTTTTCTAAATGGTCTACAGTGTTAATGAGTATGTCTACTCACCAGTACAGGAAGTATCATTGCCAGGTAACCACCGGCGAAAATGGCAAAGAAGATGGTATAGGTCATAAGTAATGGAAATGTGGTCGCCAGAGGAGCAAGGAGGTTAGTGATGCCGCAGAGGATGAGGTAAGACTTGTGGTAATGATACTTCTTGATCCAGTTTTGATCAGCAACCCATCCAGAGATGATCTGACTGACTGCCTCAGTGATACCTGGAACAAGATTGAGAAGACCTTATGAAATCCGAATTCCGTTTCCCTAGCCCCTTTGGAAAGTGTAACTGCATAAGACCTCTTCTCCTGAGTAATACAGCTTCTTCCTGAGGTGAGGACATATGAGCAAAAAATGGTCTCATCTGTCTGTCATCAGATTCAATCATTTATTTACCTACTCCAAATACATCTAATACAATGCCGAAAAAGACTCCTCCAGAGTTGGGTAGAAGACCCCTCAGGTGTTTTTTTTTGGTTTTTTTTCCTCATCGGGTTTGGAAAGCTTGTTCCACCTAACTGGGAATCCCTGGTTACAGAGGCACCAGCGCTCAGGAAGCCTTCCTCAGAGAGGTCCTGAAGGTGAGGGGGAGAGAGTTCTAAAAGACTGGGAGACCCTCTGGGCAGTGTGCTGGGGAGTCAGATGGTGGAAGACTGGACATTATAAATAATAAAGTCTTATGTTGAAAATAAAAATAGATGTTGGGACTCTTTCTTATGGTTGTACCTGAGGTTTTGGTAATTAAGTGCTCCCCTCAAGGTTATTATGCTTGGAAATAGGAAATCTGTTTTGTTTTGCTTTTTTTTGGAAATAAGTAGGAAATCTGGAAATGTGTGATCATTTTGAACATTGGAGCTATGGTGTAAACTTGAATAAAATTTGAGAATCATATTTTTCTTTCATGATAACAGGATATTCTTATTTTTTATCGATTATAAACTAATGTAGCAGTTAAATAATAGAACATTTTCACCAAGAGTAGCAGGAGCTACAGTTGCTTTGTACTGTAAATTCTTCCTAAATTGCTTCACAAAAAAGGGTGGGGGACAGAAAATGCATACTACTATTTCTCTTTTTACAGTTACTTCCTAGGATACATATGGAAACTTTTTGTTATGTTCTTTGGTCCCATTGCATAGCCTAATCTGATCTAAATTGATGACTACCGGACATTTTAATAAAAAAAAACAGTTTAGCTATGTATTTCTTGTGTACACAAGCTTTAGTTGACTGAAGTGGGTGTCTTTGCAGTTGGAATGGCGTATAGTCAGTTTTGTAAGGACTGTGTAAGCAGTCTTTTCAAGAAATTAGAGAAAAGTTAACATCAAGCTACATAGAATTTCCACATATTTAGAATAGTCCCGTTCCATGTCAATTCACTTTTTTAGGCTACCTATTTTGTCCATTGAGAGAATCCACCTCTTTTGAATTAAGCATTTTGCTTCCTTACATTTTTATAAATACTCAACTAAAATGATAGTTTTCATTTTTAACAGTATTCTAATTAAAAAAAAAAAAAATGATGCCCAGTCCATTAGTGAATGACCTTAACGGGCATATTTATCTGTCTTACTATGAGTGCAAGGGGAAAAATTCTTAGCTACCCATACTAATAGAACATTACTGAATGCTTATGATGGGCCAGGCACTATTCTAAACTCTACATGCATTGCTCATTTAATCCTGATAACCTTTTGAGAATAGGTAACAGATGAGGAAATTGAGGCACAGAGAACATGAGTAACTTGCCCAAGGTCCTACAGCTAGGAAATAACAGAACAAAATGTGAACCCAGGAAGTCGAAGCTCTAGAACCAATCTAGCCCTGTGCTGTCTGCCTATGCTTTTCCTGCTTCGGGGAGGTGGCTGTTGCCTACTTTTTAAAATCAAGTATTTATGCAATAAATACTTAATGTGTACTGTGTCAGACAGACATGGACATGAAAATGAACAAGACTTGCTTAGGGGCCACTGTCTGGTATAGAGCTCCTGTGTGCAAGGTGCAGTGACAGAGATCTGTGGAGGGACATGCCTGGTGCTCCTACCAGCCTCAAAAGACTTCCTTTTTCCTGGCCCTCCCATAACTCCTTTTTTTAAAAAATTGTTTTTCTTTAGTTTTTTATAAAATCGAATAAATTTTTGTAAAATTCATTTTCCTTTTGAGCTTGAAGTCAAAGTGCGCTTTCTTACCAGCTACAGAAACGAGGAAGGAGGCATCCATGATGTCAATCCCCAATGTTCTGGCTCTGGCCACCAGGTGAAAAGTAGGGATGAAATATGCCAACTGACTGAGGAGAAAAGACCAGGTAAATATGTAGAAGAAAGGATTTTTTAAAAGGGAGAGGTCACAGAGTTTTTGTTTACAGCTCCATGAAATAGCCTCTTTCTCATAACTGTCCCTGTTAGGCTCGTTGTTGAACTCTCTGTTTTGTGAGACTGTTAAACTTGTACGAGGTTGTCCGGCCTTTTGCAGAGCACTGTCCCTGATGGTGGCTTCTTGTGTCTCATTGCAGGATGACGTTTCTGTCGCACCCACTGCCCCTGGATTACTTGCAGCTAAGCTGCTGCCTTTATTTTTAATATCAGAATTGTTCTTGCTTTTGATATGGATGGGTCTTAGGAGCATACTGGAAGGCACCAAATTCAGTGTGATCCCTGCAAGTAGTATAAGAGCACCTAAATGGGGGAGAGAAAGTGAGAAGTTAGGTTAAAAATGGCCCCTCTCATTTCACAATACTCTGTGTTCTTAGGCTCAGAAGGGGCCCCACCACAGATATATTCAGTCACAGTGCAGTGATTCCTGAAAACACTACTTTGTCCCCTAAATTTAACTGAAGTATCTAAATCTGTTGACTTCATTTTTAGCCCTACACACCACTGTATCCTTGTGAAAACAGGGCGTCCTTTGAAAATAGAAAACCAGAAAGCTGCACCAGGAGATGATGTGGAAGGAGAGAGTGTTATTTGTGCGAGAGGAAGAAAGAATAGTTTTTTGGGGGAGCGTGGGGGGGTGGATATTTGAAGTGTTAGAAAATTACGGTGTGTTTTAAATAGGGATTTAAGATATCCTGAAGTGGGGATATAGATTTAAGGATAGAAAATACAGAATTCTAGAGTTAGATGATGAGAGTCATTCGGAAACTGCCTTAGGAGAGGGGCCAGCCTTTCATCTCATGCCATTTTTAATTTCCTTGAAAGAAGACAGATGCCAGTCTTGCCTTGGAAGCTGAGTAGTTGCTTGGTTTCAGCATGGTCTGACCAAAGCTGTGGGTTGTGTGTGGTGCTTTCAGAGATGGAATTGGCTGTAGATTCTGCTGTCCTGTCTTACGGATTTGCCAGCTGGTTCTGTTTACCATGAAACCACTGGTAGTTTTTCACTTGGGAAAGGAAAGCATCAACTGTAAGGCTCTGTAGGTAGAAACAGGTTTGTATATATTCCTATATATGTACATGTACATATACATATATTTTTCCAGTAATTTAAGATTATTTTAATCCGAATGTTTTAGGTCAGGCACAAAGAAAATCGTGGAGTGAATGGTTTTCATTTCTGAAAAATTTATAGCTGATGGTATATAAAAGATTTAGGAACATAATGCTCTGTTTACGCCCTTCTTTTTCTCGGTCTATTTTAGTGAGTCGGATGAGGTATTTTTTAATGTGGAATTTTTTCTTAAGAGAATATTTGAAAAGTGAGTGCTTTAGCGGTAGAAGAGGAGGAGGGAATCCGTGTGTCCCCAGGAGTATCACTTTCCCTGCAAGGTGTTTTGCCAGCTTCACAGAGTGGCCTCCATCCCCTCAGACCTGAACCGTGTGAAGTCTGAGTTGCTGGGGTGGTCCGTGGCGAAGCCTGCAAGTAGTTCAACATGCCTTCTGCTGTGTTCTCCAAGGAAGGGGAGGCACAGGTTTACGCTACTTTAGAAATCCTGCTTATTTCTTCCTTGGCTCAAAAAGTCTTCACTTCCACTCATTAGAGGGAAAGAGCTGAACATACCTTGTGGAGTTGATGGTTCAGACACAGAATGACTTACCTGTCCAGTCATATAGATCTATCAGGACTTTTGTGAAAGGTGCTATTAGAAACGTCAGTCCCATCCCAGAACGGGCAATAGCTGTAGAAAGAGCTAATCGTTTCTCGAAGTATTTGATAGTTACCACAGCAGCTGCTTGGTACAAGAAAGCAGAACCCAAACCTAAAAAGAAAAACAGTAGCTTGGAATCACATGAAGTGGCTTGGTACCAGATGAGATATTCTCCTGGAACTGAGATAACTTAAGTAGGCCTTTTGGGCCCATGGACAAGACAGTAAAAGGGAAGGTTCCTAGTTCCATCTTTTACAGTCTTATTTTTATCGTGAACTCACCAGGTAAAAGTCCCATAGTCACACAAAGAAAGGGAATGTTAGTAGCCCAGCTGCTGATCAGATATCCACCAGTAACAAGGAAAACCCCAAGAATGGAGGCAGTCTTCTCTCCAATTATGTCACAAGTAATGGCAACCAGGGGACCTCAGAAAAAGGAAGAAAGGCAAGTACAGGTAAATACGCTCTGGCATTTCTTATCTTCTGATGTGCGATTTAAATGAGCAACTGAAGGAAAACAAGAGGACTTGACTTTGGAGTATTGTATAGCCTTTAGAAAGGTGTCTGTATTGGGTTTCATAATATTCCCAGGCCCACACTATTGTGCTTTTTGGAAAAAGAGTTGTTTGTTTTAAAGAGGATTGTAAATAAGCAGGTTTGATAAAACCACAAAACGAGGGGCGCCTGGCTGGCTCAGTCAGAAGAACCCGTGACTCGATCTCAGGGTCATGAGTTCGAGCCCCACGTTGGTGTACAGATTACTTAAATAAGTAAAACCTTAAAAAAAAAAAAAAACCCCACAAAATGAGATTGCACCTAGTTACCTTTGACTAGAACGAAGTTTGATCATTAATCTACCCTATCATGTTTTAGCCCCAAATAGAAGCAAAGGAAGAGGAATTGGTTCTCTGTGTTGTTTTGAATATGCTTAGATGTTGGGCTTAAGAACCCTGTGGTCTGATTTCCCAGAGAGACTGGCTTACTGAACCCGTGTTCAGGCACTGTGAAAGAAACAAGGTGTGAGAAATTGAATCATGGACTTAAATAGTTGGATTCTTAAGCTCTTTTTGAACCCTATTTCTTCTGATTTTGTCAAATCAAGTAGAGGCTAAACACTTCAAGTCTGTAACTTTTCTCAGCTTTACCTATTAATGAATCTGAGTTTTAGCAACGCTTCAGTCTTAAATGACTGACAGATGAATCTTCTTGGGATTGCCCTTTGTGGTGCTTTTCCTTGGACAGCAAGCTTATTGCCAGCTTTATACCTGCAGAAAAACGAAGTGATGACATGATGGATCCAATCCAACCAGTTTGCTCTGAGGTGCTTTCAAATTCTTCTTGGAAAACCACAAAGAAAATTGCAAACGTCTTGACCATCCCCATCACAAACATGTTTACCTAAATCAAAGCAGACCAAAGAGTCCAAGTCAGGTGGTGAATGAGCCATTACAGAGAAGTTTACAGCTGCTCGTTCTTAATGACCCTGCCCCCCCGGCCCCAGGTCACCGGTATTTACCAGTTTGTTGGTTCCACGTTATACATTTTGTATTTTGTGGGGTGGCCATCCTCTTGGAGTGTCTAGGTACTTGACACAAAAGCATCTCCTTTAATCCTCATTCCAAGGCTATGGAATCAATGTTTTTTTTGGAAAGTGAGGTTTAGAGAGATTGAAAGTCGCTCAAGATGGGGGTGCCAGAGGTGAGATTTGAACCCAGATAGACTGACTCCAGACCAGTCACTGTACTGTTCTGTTCGAATCGCATCCCTTAAAGACAGCTAATTGCATTTAACTCTTGTGAGAGAAGCACGTTGGTCCAAAAGATGAATTGTTCCCATCGGTTCTTAGATTAGCTTTGCTTTAACTTTGCTCTTAAACTGAGTGCCCTTCCTCACTTGATATATAAATAGGGAGGCCATATATCGTCCAAATGGAAATACTTGAGGGCGGAAAGGAACACTATTAATTTATGCCAGAACAGCAAGGGTAAACAGGTTAGAGGGTCAGCTTATGGTTGGTTATGTGCCCCATCCTTTTCTTTTGTCCCAACTAACCCTCCTTGCCAGCACCACCATTCTCCCTTCCACTAGGAGGAATATCCTTTTTGAGGTCACGTTTCTTTCTGTGGCATATTAACATTTGTTTCTTAGAATTCCCATTACCCTGGGGGCAGTGAAGAGCAGGGGTCAGCAGGGGGAACCTGAAGGGAGGCCACCGGGCCAGCGTCTGTAGGCACTTAGCACGGGAGCTGCGTGCACTCGCTGTCTCCAGGCGCTTTCAAGCTTCCCCTTTTTTTTTCGGTGGCCTTAGCTTTCCAAGGCCACTTTCTCCGCTTTCAACCTGGCCACGCTTCGCTGACCAGCCACAGACCTGGGGCTTCCTTTCACCCATTCCACTTTCTCTGTATTACCCCCCTGTTGTTCACTCATGTCACTCTGTACCTGGTCTGTAGACAATCATTCACTTGAGGTTTAAGTTACCACCCACGTATTCATAATGTCATGGTTACAAGTACTGTTCTGCGGTCAGCCTGTCTTGGCCTGAATCCTGGCTCCACATCCTATGAGAGGTGTGACCTTGGGCAAACACTTCACAGAAGTTAAGCTTTCTTTTTTGTAAAGTGAAGATAAAGGAAATGTTACACTTACAGAACTGAAGATTGAGAAAATTCAGGTAAAGGATAGCACTTAATACTCAAACTGTTAACTGTGATTTTGTTACCTCACGTAACCATTCTGCTTTCTCAAGAGCTTCAGACTCGTTTGTATAACCACCATATCTAACTCAGGTCAACCCATCCAAAATTACTCTTCTTTCCCTTATCCCACACCTAGTCTTTTCATTTCTCCTTTCATTGGGACCATCCACTTGCTCACCCAAGTCAGAGCCTCTCTTTCCCTCAGCCCCCGCGTGCTACATAACCAACAGCTTCCTCCTCAGCCCCCTTCATTTGACTCTTGTTTCAAACTAGTATTAGTTCTTGTCTGGAGTAAGGGACTAAGAACCAGTGGTGCTCCGAGGTTGCAAACGTTGGGCGTGGTGAGAAGGGGGTCCCTTAATGTACTTTTCCCATTTTGATTTGATAGTAGCAACAAAATTGTCCTTATTCAGAGTGAACAATGCCACGGACACCTGCGCTCTACGTTCACAAGTGAAAAAGACATTTTATCAGGCCCTTGTTCAGGCAATTTATAATCCTCCTATTCCTCAGAGTTGCTTCTATCAGGAAATGAAGCTAGAGAGCATAGCAAACCACAGGCGACCCCCACTTGTTTTTCTCAGTTCGGAATGCAGAGTGGTGATTGCAGCGTCTCAGAGCAAGGGACACCACAATGAGGCATCATCATTCTGTAAAATTTCCTTCCCTTTTTTCTGTGGACATGGTTCCATGCTGGTGTCTAGACAGTGCTGTCCTCTCCTTTCTTAGCCACCTGAATTTGGCTAGCTTCTTGTGTCCCCTCCCCCCCCCCACCCCAGTTTAGGACCTTTCCTCTCTGGTCTGTCCTTGATGTCTGGGCATAGCAGCAGTGAGTGGATAGGACTTGTCTGTGATAAGTGGGTCTGTGCTTTCCACTGTGTGTCAAGAAAGCCAAGGACACAGCCTTTGCATCAGCTCTGCCTCCCTCCCTTAACTTGTAACCTTCCAACTTTGTTTCTATTTTGACTCCGATATCAAAACTCTTTTTCTCAAGATCTGAATTTTCCCTTAGTTATCCAAGCAGACTAGATACTTCTATATTCTGCTACTTCATTACTTCATCCTGGCTTTCAACTAAGGTAGGTGGGTTTCAGTCCTGTTCCAGAGTCCACCTCAGACATTGTAAATGGGCTCACCCAAAAATAAAAGCCCCTAGAAGTTCTCCTGTGGCTGACCCAGCCCCCTTATTTTCTTAAATATCTTTAAGTATAAAGTATCTTTTTTTTAAAGACAGCTATTTTGTTTTTTTTTTTAAGATTTTATTTGTTTATTTGACAGAGAGAGACACAGAGAGAGAGGGAACACAAGCAGGGGGAGGGGGAGAGGGAGAAGCAGACTTCCAGCTGAGCAGGGAGCCCAATGCAGGGCTCGATCCCAGGACCCTGGGATCATGACCTGAGCCGAAGGCAGATGCTTAACGACTGAGCCACCCAGGCGCCCCTAAGTATGAAGTATCTTTAAGAGCACCCCAGACACACACACACACAAACACTCATACACAGTAAGAGCTCCCTCACCAGATCACTCATTAGAATATTGTCTTGGGAAAGGGGGCTGGATCAGCCAAAGGGGCCCCTTTTGAATAGAGAGCATCAGGGTTGGTCAGAAATGATTGGGTAATTGTTGTTTAACAACAACTTCCTTCTACTCTGGGTCTCTCTCTCTTATCACCCCAGCTCTTCCTTCCTGGACTACACAAACTAGAGAACAGTCTGTCAGGTTATCTCTGCCTCCTCACATCCTACCATTGACTGTAGGGACGCTCAGCAAGGCTACCAGAAGCTTCCTTGTTGCTGAACAAACCCCATTGTCAGTTCTGGCATTTCACCTCGAGGCAGCATCTGTTCATCGCCCTTAGCTCCTGGACATTTCTGCCTTTGCTTCTGTGATACTGCATCCCTGCATCTCCCACTGCTTCTTAGTTTCCTCCGTGGGCTACTCGCCGCCCGACCCCTAACATCAGTTTTCTCCAGGCTTCTGCTGAGTTGCTCTTCTCCCCATCCGTGGCGATTTTCCCCATCCAGCCCTTTGGTTCGAGCCAACCAATGTATGCCGATGACGCACAGATTTCAGTACGAGATCCCGTGCTCCACCTGTGCGTGGGCTGCTGAACACATTTCTGCTTACATCACAGGTCCCACGGTCCCTGCCTAGGATTAAGCTATCCAAGCATCTTCAGATGTTCTTCCCTTCTTCTTGTGTCCTCCAACTCAGTGAGTGATGCATTATCCTCCAAGTTGCCCAAGCCAACAACCCAGGACTCCTTGACTCCCTTTTGCCCTGAAACTCTGTTCCTGTCCAAATCTTATAGGTCCATCTCCTCCCTGTTGCACGGACCTGTATTTTCTCCATCCTCACTGCTATTGCTTTAATTTAGGGCCTTTTTTGCTCACCTGGATTATCACAACACCCAACCAGTGGATCTCCATGCTTCCAGGCCTATCCCCTGCCAATCATCATCCACCCTGCAGGCAGAGCTATTTTCCTGAAATGCACATCTGATCCCATCCTTTCCCCTGCTTGCTTTTTTTCATTAGCTCCTCAGCCTCAAGATAAAAACCAGTGTTTTAAACATGCCCCTACAAGGCCCCTACCCATCTCCAATCTCATCATAATCACTTGCTTTATTCATAAGTGTGTCCATCAGTCAGTCAGTTCATCCCTCCATCCATCCTACCCATCCACCAACAGGTATTTATTGAATGCCTACGATGTCCCAGGCTGTTTACTATGAGGAGCTGGTCTTACAATGGTGAGCAAATGGTGGTGAGACATGGTACCTGCCATCATGGGACACTCAGTCCAGTGAGACAGACAGAATACAGAAAAAAACAACAAAACTCATGCAAATATATAGTTACAAAGTGTGGTAAGTTAGAATGAGTCCTTTTTAAAAAACTTACTCTTTTGAGATGCCTGGGTGGCTCAGTCAGTTAAGTGTCTGCCTTTGGCTCAGGTCATGATCCCAGGGTCCTGGGATCAAGCCCCGCATTGAGCCCCTGGGATCAAGCCCCGTAGCCTGCTTCTCCCTCTCCCCTGCTTATGCTCTCTCTTTCTGTCAAATAAATAAAATTTAAAAAAATAATAATAAACTTGGGGTGCCTGGGTGGCTCAGATGGTTAAGCATCTGCCTTCGGCTCAGGTCATGATTCCAGGGTCCTGGGATCAAGCCCCACGTCGGGCTCCTGGCTTAGCGTGGAGCCTGCTTCTCCCTCTCCCTCTGCCTCCTCCCTGCTCATGCTCGCTCTCTCTCTGTATCTCTGTGTCTCAAATGAATAAATAAAATCTTAAAAATAAATAAATAAATAAACTTTTACTCTTTTTAAAGATTTTATTTTTAAGTAATCTCTACACACAACATGGGGCTCAAACACACAACCCCGTAATCAAGAGTCACATGCTTCACCAACTGAGCCAGCCAGGCGTCCCAAGAATGAGCCCTCTTTTTTTTCTTTTAAAGTAGAGCACTCCCAAAGAACATTTTGTTACTGGATATTTCTTTTTTCTTTTCTTTCTTTTTTTAAATTCTTAATAATTGTTGAACAAGGGGCCATGCATTTTTATTTTGCACTGGATCCTGCAAATGATGTAGTCACCCTGCCTGGAGGTTAGAGCTGTTACCACCCCTCTTCTCGGAGGGTGAAGCTGGCCTTGAGAGATTCAATCACTTGTCAGGGGTCCACAGCTACATGACAGAACCAAGATGAGCCCTTGAGTGACTTAAACTTCATCCCTGTTTCTTCAGGGTTCTGGCTTCTCCTTGCTCACTCATTTTCCTCTCCCATGCACTTGATTTTTTAAACTCTACTGAAGAGCCTTTCTGTACCACTTATTTATTTATTTATTTATTTATAAAGATTTTATTTATTTGAGAGAGAGAGAGAATGAGAGACAGAGAGCATGAGAGGGAGGAGGGTCAGAGGGAGAAGCAGACTCCCTGCCAAGCAGGGAGCCCGATGCGGGACTCAATCCCGGGACTCCAGGATCATGACCTGAGCCGAAGGCAGTCGCTTAACCAACTGAGCCACCCAGGCGCCCTGTACCACTTATTTATTAACTGGTTAAAACATAATTATTAGGCTGATAATCTGAAAAGAACATTTTATAATAGGCCACAGGATAGACTATAGAACTATTCTGTCCAATACAGTAGCCTGTACATGTGGCTGTTTGAATTTTAATATTAAATGAATTTCAATGTCATTTTAATCAAGTTGGGGGCTAATTCTCATTTAGTGTAATTTTAATTAAGTTGGGTGCTACATCAAAATACACTGGGGCTTCCTTTTTCAAATTAAGCGTGCATGGTTGTATATGGAGGGACACTGGGGTCCCAGGGTGTGAAGTCAGGACTAGGGGAAGGGGTATGGAGTTCACACTTGACTTGAATGTGCCCCTGAGGGTGTTTGTATGAATATATTGCACATTCCAGCACCTTGTTTTGTTTCATTGTTTTACTAAATCACAATGTTTCAGCCCCCCCATCCCCCATAATGTAGTTTCTCAGTTGCACTAGCCACATGCTCCAGGATTTTTTTCACTCATCTTTTTAGAAACTCATCTATTGTAGAAAAATATACTCATAACTCGTGCAGACAGAAAACCATAATCCTGTAAGTATCCCCATATCCACTGCAATCACTTAGCTGGAGTTAATTGTTAACACTTGAGGACTCAGTATATTCTTTTGTGCTTTCATCAGCAGGGTCGCACCCAGAAAAGTGGAACACTGAACATTGTTTAATAATCTGGCTATTAGGGGCGCCTGGGTGGCTCAGTCAGTTAAGCGTCTGCCTTCGGCTCAGGTCATGATCTCAGGGTCCTGGGATCGAGCCCCGCATCGGGCTCCCTGCTCGGCAGGAAGCCTGCTTCTCCCTCTCCCACTCCCCCTGCTTGTGTTCCCTCTCTCTCTGTCTCTCTCTGTCAAATAAATAAATAAAATCTTTAAAAAAAAATAATAATCTGGCTATTAGGCAGTCTTTCTTACCAGTAACTACATTGGCCAAATAACTTCTCTCCCCAGAGGAGAATGTTGGAAAAGTAAGGGTCGTTACTGGGGAGAAAGGCGGGAGATCTGGAGACCCTCACCAGCGACGCTAGCTCTGCAAAGCCCGTGATTTGGGGAGGTGGCCCAAAGTCTGGGAGGGCTCTCAGACTTAGGACATCCTTAGCTTCCTTATTAGTAACATTTCTGGGAGAAAAAAAAAAGTGAGTATACATTCTTTGGTCAGGAAGCTAATGTTTAACAAATAGTCCTCCGGTTAGGAGGTTTGTATTACATAAATCCTGCCTGAGGACCTGGGCCGCTACTTTCCCGTCCTCTGTCAGTAGGGAGGAGGAGGTATGATGTTTTCCCGTTGTCCCCGGTTATGGAGCTCTTGCATCACATTGTGGACTGCAGGATTATTAGTAGTCACCAAGACCCGCAGTCCCATCTTTGTGAGCTTCTTACTGTAGGGTGGAGCAGGGGAGGAAGACAAGAGGGATAGGGTGTCTTCCTGAGTCCATCTCAAAGTTCACTGATCTGGGAACACTTATGCGGAATGTGGAGCTGGTGCTACTGTTACAGACTTGTTTGGGGCACAGCTGGGATGGGACTCACCAGTATTCTAGAATGGCCATGCTGACATTTCACATCACCACTGTCTCACAACAACCTTAAGAGCCTCTAGGAGGATGAGGGAAAGAAGCTAATTAGGAAATGGAGTGCCCAGTCCAGTTGCTTACAGATGGAGAAAAATCAGTCTCCAGTTTCAGAATCCACATACTTCTCTCCCTTTCCAGGCATATCAGAAATGCACACTGGGCCTAATTCTAGCATAAGTTACGGTTGTGAGGCTGGGTTGGGAAGTGGACAGTAGGCAGAACAGAGAGAAAATGTCCCCATCCCCTCTCCCTAGGAGAGAGGGAGGTTGCTGCCATGCGTATGCTGGGCTGAGCTGGGAACCCACCCAACAGCACTTTTTAGCACCTCCCACTGCTACTTCTGGGGTGCTTAAATGTATGATTATCTATGCATCCTAATTGCCATGCAGCCAGGGTGGAGCTGCTGCTGGTGGCTGGAACATTCTGTAGGTTTTGGGACAGCAGCAAGGAGGGGGCTGGAGGGAAACACTTTGTCTTTCACTCAAGGAGGACATTTTCAACTTTCTTCCGAGTTCAGGGTGGGCCACTGACTTTGGCAACTGTTGGCAGTTCCTGGCTTTGCTCTGAGCCTTTCTCCAGAGGAGCTCTCTTTTGGGCAGTAGAAAAGGGGAAAGTAAATTCTTACCAGGAAGAAATGAAATACAATCATCCATCCCCAACCTCCGTCCAGGGCTTTAGTGTAAGGTCGGGCGTTCCCTGCCCTCTGCATCATGATGGTTGGTCTCTGTGACAATACCAAGACAGTTGATTCAGTTGACAAACTGATCTAAACTTTTAAACTTTATTTTTCTCTGTGGTATAAAACCCTTTGTAATTTTTTTTAGCCCACCCCTTTAAAAATGATTTCCTCATTTCTAAATTGTTTACAGGCTCTGATCTCAACCTCAAAAATGCAAGCAGGGCTTTGTACCATCTTGGGGGACTTTTCTGGAGGCCTGCTGCCTAGCTTCACCTGGCAAGTCCAGATGGCTTTGACAGTTATCCTGGGGTATGTCCGTAGTTACAAATAAAGTCAGCCTGACTATGTCTCCCTATCCTTGTTTATTCCATACTCACAATCCAGGCAGAACCATGGGAAAGGTGAGAAAAAGCTAATGAAAAGCCATGATTCGAGGGACATCAAAGCCATCACAGAGATCTGAATGGCATCTGAAAGATGACCACTCTGTTTATTTCAGGCAGGAATTGCAAAGGAATTAACTACAAAGCCTGACCTCACTGTAAGGTGGCCGCTCTTAGCACTGGCCTCCGTGGCCTAGGTCTGCAAGCCACATCCTAGGGGAAGTTGTGCATCACCCTCTGGTCCTCTGGGTGAGCTCCTGACTTTAGAGAAACAAGGAGGGGAGGAGGAGCCTCGGGTTTAGGAATTCCCTTTACAAAGCAATTGCTAAAATGAAAATATTCTAAGGGACTGACTAAATAGATGTGACAACAAAAATGCCATGACTGCGCCTCGACTGAATTCTGGACCAGGAAACAAGTCGTAAAGGACTTTAGGAGATCACTTGGGGAAATCTGAATTCTGGACTTTCTAGTAGACCATGCGGTCGTGGTCTTGTGGTTCTGCTAGGAGCATGTTCTTGGTCTCGGGAGCGGCATGCTAGCAAGCACTCAGGAGCGAGGTATCATAGAACCTATTTTCTCACAAGTGGTTCAGTAAAAAAAAAAAAAAAAAAAAAATAGAGAAATAGCAATGAGAAATGTAAATGTCCGGAAGAAAGCATGCGGCATTCTTTATTTCCCTCCGTCAGGTTGGCAGGCAGGCTGTTGCTTCCCGGACAGGGCAGGCTGTCTGGTGAGCAGGCCAGGTGAGGGAGGTGGGGGGCTGGGGGAAGATGCCAGTCATTCAAAACATTGCAGAAAACCAACCCAACACACCGTCCTGTCTTTATTTTACCTTTGATGTGGTCTTCAGCAAAGGAATCCTTCACCGATGAGGCAATCTGGGAAGAAAAAGTATAGGATTGTCGACAAAGTTACTCCTTTTTTTAAGGCATTTCATTCAGCTGCACTGTGAACACAAGCGAGCATTCTAAGTCCGTGCGGTTGGAGTCAATGTGGTTCCTCCTGCCAGTGGACTTTAACTTCCTGAGGGGTGGAGGAAACACTGTGATTTGACATCATCCCAGGCCCTCCCTCCACCCATCCAGACTCAGAAAGTAGAATTTTTCACCATAGGCTCAGAAGCAAGCATCAGAGTAAACCAAGTAGAAAATCCTTTTGGGAACTATGGTTAAGTTAATTCAACAAGGAAGCCCTTACACAGAGGTGGCTCTAAGGCCCAGGGTGGTTTCTGCAAGCAAACCCAAATCTAAGCCCAGTCAATGCCACAAAGGTACCAAATGAAAATGGTAAAGACAACTCATCACAAGGAACTAGGCTTCAAACTATATCAACAACTTCCTTGCTGGGGCGCCGGGCTGGCTCAGTCAGGAGAGCACGTGACTCTTGATCTCAGAGTCCTGAGTTCCAGCCCCATGGCAGGCATAGGGCCTACCGAAAATCAATAAATAAACTATCTTAACAACAACAACAACAAAAACACCAAAAACTTCCTTGCTTTGCTTCCACCTTTTTCTCTGTGAAAGTCTCTCCCTGAGCTCCTGTCGATGGAGTGCTGCTAAATCCTTCTGACCTGACACTGCCTGATTTGAATAGATTTTTCCTCAAATAAACTCTTAACCTATTTATTTAATATGCTTCAGTTTATCTTTTAACAGTTCTGGTATCAGAAGAGGGAACAAAGGAAGGAGACCTCTGACCACCCCCCCAGGAGCAATGGGCAAGGGACGCAGGTCCCCACCCAGCCCCTGGAGCTTGAGACTTTCTCTGGCCTCTACAGGCTCATGGGCAAGTCCCTCTTAGGTCCTAGCTCCACAGCGTTTGTATTCCACACTGTTGGACTTCATTTAAGCATTTCTTTTTAGGGACTGGGTCCAGAAACTGACTGGGTTCAACTTAAACACTGGCCTGGGTCTGGGGGCAGACTAGGACCAACTTAAACTGGGCTGGGCCCAGTGTGAGGCCTCAGCTGACTAAAATATTGTGTTAAAGCTGAACAAGCAGGTTAACCTTACCAAAGATAATCTTCAATGCCAGTGACCACAGTGGAGGATTTTTAATTTAGGTGAATGTATCCATTTATGCGGTTCCCTTGAGAAAAAAAGGGTCTTAGCCAAACACTCACATTAAAAGGTGAGGGAATATAATTTTTCCTCCTCTGCAATTTCGGGTGACCAGAATGAGACCTCCTGGGACACCCCACTCACTCCAGAGCCTGCAGACGGGATCCTGAGAAAACCGGCAGAAGCCCGCAAAGGGTGAGCATTCCTACCAAAGTTAGCTCTCCTGGATCTCTGTCTGTGGTGCCTGGGCTGTCCCTTCCTTTCCAAATTCAGATTGACAAGCGAAAACCATTTGAGAATTAGATCTTTGAATTGCTGCTCATGAATTTCTGTTTGGGTGCCCACTGGTTATCAATCCTTTTTTTCCTGGAGACAGCTATTGCTTTCCCCTTTGTCTCATTTTGTGTCATGAGAACGTGGCTTGGCTTTTCTGCCTGTCGGGACACACAGGTTATTAGTTCTTGCAAGTGCAGGCAGCTCAACGGTAGGGTTGGAGGCCCTAAAACTATGGCTGGACAGAAATATGGGTTGCATCCCCATATGCAGCTAGTGTCCTCCCAGCCATGCTCAGCCATCAGGGGGATTGTCGAAGTCTCCTTTTGGGTTCTCTTTGGGAGTAACTCAGGGTCTCAGGAGGTAATATCTCTTGCACCCTCCTTGGGGGCACCTCTTCTGTCCATGGTTAAGTCATAAAAGGTTTGTTAGTTTGGGTTTTGAGTCATCTGATAGGGATACCTCTGGTTTAAAAGAAGAAGAAAAATTTTTACTGTTCATCCAGCTAAGAAGTATTAATAAGATATTTGAAAGGATGTTTAGTGAGCTCTGTGGTCAGAAGTCGGCCGGATTGGAAGCTGATATTCAGAGCCTGATAAGAACTTTTAAAAAGGCCTTTTTCCCTAAACTAAAGTGAAACTATGTACCTAAAGGGAAAGAAAAACATTCCCAAACCACTGTGAAAGGATTTACTAAGTCATAAAGGAACACAGCTCTTAATCTTAGGAGCGTGAGAATCTTAATTTCCATCTTAGTTGAAATCCCCGTAATGGGGGCACCTGGGTGGCTCAATTCGTTAAGGGTCTGCCTTCAGCTCAGGTCATGATCCCAGGACCCTGAGATTGAGTCCCGCATCAGGCTCCATGCTCAGCGCGGAGCCTGCTTCTCCCTCTCACTCTGCTGCTCCCCCTGCTTGTGCTCTCTCTCTGTCAAATAAATAAAAAAGAAAGAAAAGAAAAGAAATCCCCCTAATGAATAATAAATAAATCAGCAAATTGAAGATCATGTGGGTGGATGGGAGGGTCAGTCCGCCTCTTGATATCATTCAGGTTGCAGCCCAGTTCTTTGAGGAATTAAAAACAACTGTACTGTCCTGACAAATCTCATCTTTACAAGAACAGAAATGTGGCTCTAGAAACGGTTCAAAGCACACTATCCATTTTACCATCCCCAAACGTCTCCTGTTCATCTCAAAAAACTTGCGGGGTACTATAAAACATCTGGATATAGGGAATAAAAATCCTTTTTGGTGGAATTTATATCTTTTCCCTGTGCCTTTGAGATGTAAATGTTCTACTTCCGTTCTCTAGGTACCCAGAGCCATTTCTTTGAAATGCAGACTTCAGGGAGGTAATTCTTTTTTTTTTTTTTTAATTTTTTTAAATTTTATTTTGTTACGTTAATCACCATACAATACATCATTAGTTTTTGATGTAGTGTTCAATGATTCATTGTTTGCGTATAACACCCAGTGCTCCATTCAATACATGCCCTCTTTAATACCCATCACCAGGCTAACACATCTCCCCACACCCTTCCCTTCTAGAACCCTCAGTTTGTTTCTCAGAGTCCATAGTCTCTCATGGTTTGTCTCCCCCTCCGGTTTCCCCCCTTCACTTAATTCTTATCAGAAGGGACAAAAAGAACCTGGGGTTGGGGGTAGGGGCGCTGCTTGGAAACTAGGAGAAAGTTATATACTAAGTTAGGTTAAATGACGAATATTCATGAATATCTACATCATTTCCAAATAAGATAAAATACTAGAATACTAATTATTGAACTTAAGTTTATTTACTTTTGGCTTTTTATACAGAGTAACTAAGGATGTTTGAGTCTATCGGGAAGTATGTTTTGTGCCACACTGAGAAATTTGCTACGAGGAAGGACACACTACTAGAAATTATGAAATTTATAAATTTGCCAGTCCACGGAATACCAGTTTAACAGTCCACAATTGGTTGCTTCTCTGTTTTCATAAGAAATTCAGGACTCCATGGGTTAAGAATTCTAATTAATATATGTAATTAAAACTACTTAAAAATAGTAAGGGTGAAAGGAAACATCTGTATGAAAAGCAAGGAAGGAATGTCGAATGTGTTTTTTATTTTTATTTATGTGTAAATTTCTTGTAAAGTTTATTTGAATAATCTCTACACACAACATAGGGGCTCGAACTCACACCCCGAGATCAAGAGTTGCATGCTCCACCGACTGAGCCGGCCAGGCGCCCCTTATAATTTTTAATATACCTCAGTTTATTGTTTAGCACTATCCTGAAGGTGGGGTGTGGGGCCCCAGAACTTTGATCGCGGTGCTGCTCCTCTGGGAGCTCCTCAGGACATGCTAATTTTACAGAAAACGTACAACTCTCCCAGACTTGGGAGATGAGTTTCCTGGCTACGGATGGCAGTCTGCAGTAAGTTCTGCCTATTTATGTGACCTTTTGTGTATTGACTAATTTTACTTAGTAATCTAGAGTTGAAGCCCCATTTCCTTTTTTTAATTCTTGATCACATTAATTCCAAACACCTCCCGTGGAACGTATATACTTGTAGTTTTAATGAAGCCTTTCTTCTTGCGTTTTGGAAATGGTTAAGTTTTCTCGAAAATGACAGGGAAAATTCAGCCTTCTTATCCCATTTCCTTCCTCTGTCCCACCCTCCACATCAAAAAAGAAAATATAATGAAAAAGGCAACAGGAAATCGCCTTTCATCTCCCCAGCACCAACATTCTAGGTTTTGAACCAGAGTGTGTTTTTCTTGTTTTATCTGGAAAATCTGCACATATTTATGCATCCTCCTTTATAAAAAATAAGGGGTTTCTCAGGCTCTTAAAACCAAATTCTATAATACTTTTTGATGAAAGTGCCAGCAGAAGCAGAGCTGGGAAGATGCCCTGCAAGTGTTACAGATGGAAAGGATTAGGCAGTTGTGTGGTGCTGGTGCTAAGGATCCAACAGACCTTCAGCAGAGCGCAAAACCCTAAAGAGAGAAGGTGAAGGCTTTTCAGTTATTTGTAGTTACTAACAATGTTCCTAATTGTTAGTGTGTTGTACTTACATACTAACAAGCACTTTCGAGTAAACATCCGTGGGACTAATTTTTGGGGGTGCGTGTGTGGGGAGGACTTGTTGCTCCTATCTATGATTCTGATAGCAGGCTGAGCTGAGGCTAGGCTTTCTATCCATAGATAGCTCTGATGCTGAGGGCTGGAGGTCAGGTTCAAAGTGTGGCGGAACAGTCAGCCACTCTCGCGGGCTGGGAGGGATGCGCAATCCTCGGATGAACTGCTCCAAGCACCTACGACATACAGGGAGCGTTCAGGTGTGGTGCGAAACGCAGACTTGGTTAGGATCTCAACTCTGCTGCTTTTTAAGCCTGGAGACTCTGGACAGGTTACCCTGAGTCTGTTTTCAAATCTGTAAAATGTAGCTCGTACTACCTTGCAAGGTTTTTTGTGAGGACTAACAATATACAGAGATTGTAGGAGAAACAGAACCAGTAGGAGATCTATGTATATGCGCGCACACACAATCCTACTTCAGCGGCATAGGATCATATACAATCTTACTTTGGCTGCAGCACTGTACAGACCAGAAAATCAGCCGTCTCCAACCCTGAGCTCTTTGCAGCACTCTTTCCATCGATAAATGTGGGTGC